TATGATGTCGTCTGCATCGGCGTCAGCGTTGTCCGAAGACACATTTGGTTTCCAGACAATAACTTTAGTTTAAGTGAATGGATCTCTATGAAATTTTACAAGAAGGTTCAACACCACAAAACAAAGGTTGGGATTGATTTTGGGGGTTATGGTACCAACAGTTTAGGAATTAGGGGCCAAAAAAGGGGCCAAAAACAAGCATTTTTGTAGTTTCCGGACAATAACTTGTGTATAAGTGTATGGATCTCTCTGACATTGTACCACAAGGTTCCATATCACAAAGGGAAGGCTGGGATGGAGTTTGGGGGTAATTGCCGTAAACATGCAGGAATTGGGGCAGAAAAGGGGCCAAAAACAAACATTTTTCTAGTTTCCAAACAATAACTTGTGTTCAAGTGTATGGATCTGTCTAAAATTGTACTACAAGGTTCCATACTACAAAGGGAAGGCTGCGATTGAGTTTGGGGGTAATAATTTTTTTTTTTTTCAAAATTTTTCAAATTTCAAATTTTTGAAAAGTTTCAAGAAGAAATCTTCATTTCACAGTATTGCGCAATAGTTTTTTTAAGATATTTGACCACATTTATTTTTTGTCAAAAACCTATGTTATGTCAAAAATTGGATCAAAATCCAAATTCAGACAGTATCAAGCTTGAATATTGTGTCCAAAAATGCCCCCAACTGTTCAGGGTTCGACCTCTGCGGTCGTATTAGGCTGCGCTCAGCAAAGCATTTTTGTCGAGCCTGCAACTTTTGTCGCAGAAAGCTCGACATTGGGATAGTGATCCGGCTGCTACAGTGGCAGCGGCGTTAGCTAACTTCTTAAAAGCTTTATATTTTAGAAGCTAGAAGACCAGGATGCTTCATACTTTGTATATAGATGCCTTATGTTACAAAGTTTCCGTCTGTCATATGTCCAATGTCCTTGACCTCATTTTCATGGTTCAGTGACTACTTGAAAAAAAAGTCAACATTTTTAGCTCACCTGGCCCAAGGGCCAAGTGAGCTTTTCTCATCACTTGGCGTCCGTCGTCCGTCGTCGTTGTCCGTCGTCGTTAACTTTTACAAAAATCTTCTCCTCTGAAACTACTGGTCCAAATTTGACCAAACTTGGCCACAATCATCATTGGGGTATCTAGTTTTAAAAATGTGTCCAGTGACCCAGCCAACCAACCAAGATGGCCGCCATGGCTAAAAATAGAACATAGGGGTAAAATGTAGATTTTGGCTTATATCTCTGAAACCAAAGCATTTAGAGCAAATCTGACAGGGGTAAAATTGTTTATCAGGTCAAGATCTATCTGTCCTGAAATTTTCAGATGAATCGGACAACCCGTTGTTGGGTTGCTGCACCTGAATTTGTAATTTTACGGAAATTTTGCCGTTTTTGGTTATTATCTTGAATATTATTATAGATAGAGATAAACTGAAAAGAGGGGACCAATTTATCAAACTTGGGCTGAATTATCCTTAAGGTATCTAGTATAAAGTTTGTGTTTTTTTGTCTATCAAAAAACATGACCGCCATGACAAAGAAAATAAAACATAGGGCAAAAAAAAAAGTTTATGGCTTATATCTGAAAAAAAAGCAGTTAAAGCAAAACTGACCTAAATAAAAATGATAAGCATGTAAAGATTTATCTGCCACAAAAATTTCAAACCAATGGGACAACCCTATTTGGAGTTATTGCCCCTGAAATAATAATTGTTATTAAAGTTTCTGTTTTTCGATTTTATCTAGAAAACTATTAAAGATAAAGAGAAATTTCAACAGCAAAAATGTTCAGCAAGTTTAAAAAAATCTACAAATAAGTCAAACTGAACAAATTTGTAAATTAATCCCTTATTGGAGTTATTGAAACTATGATAGATAGAGAGAAACCTTTAGTGGCAAAAATGTTCCACAAAGTAAGATCTACCAAAATTATAGGAGCTAGGTTAAAAGTGTAAACTGTAAAAATTATCAGCACGATAAGATGTATCCACCCTGAAAATTTGGTAAAAACTAACCACTTGTTTTTGCCTCTAAACTATCTATTTTAGAATTTACAGTTGGTGGCTGCTATCATAAAAACTATAGGAGTAAGGTTAAAAGTGTAAATTGCAAAAAGGGGCAACACAACAAAATGTATCTAACCTAAAAATTGGAGAAAAATCTGTCACCCTGTTTTAGAGTTATTGCCCCTGAAAAATCATTTTTTTACGACTGCAAAAAATTTGCGTTCCTATATTGCTATCACGTTGTCGTCGTCCGAAGACATTTGGTTAAGTGTACGGATCTCTATGAAATTTAAACAAAAGGTTCAATACCACAAAAGGAAGGTTGGGATTGTTTTTGGGGGTGATGGTCCCAACCAGTTTAGGAATTAGGGGCCAAAAAGGGGCCCAAAACAAGCATTTTTCTAGTTTCAGGACAATAACTTGTGTATAAGTATTTTGATTGCTCTGAAATTGTACCATATGGGTCAATTCTACAAGTAGAAGGTTGGTATTCATTTTGGGGGTAATAGCCCACACCTTTCAGGAATTAGGGGCCAAAAAGGGACCAAAACAAGCATTTTTCTAAGTTTTCAGACAATTACTTGTGTTTAAATGTATGGATGTCTCTTAAATTGTACCACATGTTACAAAAAGAAAATTTCTTCAAATATTATTTTTTTTGGAGGGGGGTAAACAAAAAATATTTTTTGGGGGGTCAATTTTTTTTCCTCAAGATTTAATAAATTATCAATTTTCCATTATTTTTTTGGAGGGTGGGTAAACAAAAAATTTTTTTGGGGGTGGGGTCAATTTTTTTCCTCAAGATTTAATAAATTATCAATTTTCCATTATTTTTTTGGAGGCTGGGTAAACAAAAAATTTGTTTGGGGGTGGGGTCAATTTTTTTCCCTCAAGATTTAAGAAAGTCAATTTTCCCAAAAAAAATTGGGGGTCACAAGTTATTTTGCTAATTCTTTGTATATAGTCTGAAAACAGATTTACTAAGTATTGCGCAACATCACAGTGTATTGCACAACAGCAAGAAATCTTCAATTGAATATAAATTCAAATCATATAACCAATTTCAAGTTCTTTGACTACATTTATTCTGTGTCAGAAACCTATAATGTGTCAAATATTTAATTACAATCCAAATTCAGACCTGTATCAAGCTTGAATATTGTGTCCATTTTTGCCCCAACTGTTCAGGGTTGGACCTCAGCGGTCGTATCCAGCTGCACTTGCGAAGCACATTTATTAAAAGTGTTATCCTGTTATTGATAAACGTGTAGGCCCTAGGTTAAAAGTGTAAATTACAAAAATGGTCAGCTTGACAAGATTTTATAACTCTGGAAATGTTGAAAAAAATATGTAAACCTGTGTTTTTGAGTTATTGCCCCTGAAAAATACATTTTTATACGCCCGTCAAAATTTTGACGGGATGAATTATGGTATACAAATGTCGTCTGTCCGGTGTAAACATGTTGACCGTAACTTGAGAACGAGAAATTTCATGAAACTTAACATAGTTGTTTCTTATGATGGTCAAACGATCTGTATACTTTTTGGTGAAAATAAGATTAAAACTTTTTGAGTTTTGGGACTTAGTAACTAAAACAGGTGTGTGTTTTTTTTTCACATGTCGCGCTGTATCTCAAAAACAATTTATGATTATTGCTTAAAACTTACACACTTCTTAGTTATATTAATCTTAAGATCTGTATACTTTTTGGTGATGATTCAAAATTTTATTTTAGAGATAATATTGAGTATTTTGTTAAAAAAGGGGGAGGGGTTTTTCACATGTCGCGCCATATCTCAAAAACAATTTATGATTATTGCTGAAAACTTTACACACTTCTTAGTTATATTAATCTGAAGATCTGTATACTTTTTGGTGACGATTCAAAATTTTATTTTAGAGATATTGAGTATTTTGTTAAAAAAGGGGGAGGGTTTTTTCACATGTTGCGCCGTATCTCAAAAACAGTTTATGATTATTGCTTAAAACTTTACACACTTCTTAAGTATATTAATCTTAAGATCTGTATACTTTTTGGTGATGATTCAAAATTTTATTTTTGAGTTATTGAGTATTTCTTAAAAAAAAGGGGGAGGGGTTTTTCACATGTCGCGCTGTATCCCAAAAACGATTTATGATTATTGCTTAAAATTTTACACACTTCTTAATTATATTAATCTTAAGATCTGTATACTTTTTGATTTTGATTCAAAATTTTATTGTTGAGATATTGATTTTTTTTTTTTAAAAAGGGGGGTTTTCACATGTCGCACCGTATCTCAAAAAAGATTTATGATTATTGCTTAAAATTTTACACACTTTTTAGTTATATTAATCTACAGATCTGTATACTTTTTGGTTTTGATTCAAAATTTATTTTAGAGATATTGAGTTTTTTGTAAAAAAGGGGGTTTTCGCGTGTCAGGCCGTATGTCAGAAACTATTTAAAATTATTGCATAAAAATTCACACACAAGTCGTGAAGACGACAGGCATATCATGCGCTCATGGCGCAGCTGTTTTTTCCATTTTTTTTCATTTTTGCCTGTTATTTGGAAAACTATAGGAGCTAGAGGTTAAAAGTGTAAACTACAATTACGATCAGCATGACAAGATCTTTTTACTCAGTTTTTTGTCGAGCCTGCGACTTTTGTCGCAGAAAGCTCGACATAGGGATAGTGATCCGGCGGCAGCGGCGTTAGCTCACTTCTTAAAAGCTTTATATTTTGGAGGGTGGAAGACCTGGATGCTTCATAATTTGTATATGGATGCCTCATGTTACGAAGTTTCCGTCAGTCACATGTCCAATGTCCTTGACCTCATTTTCATGGTTCAGTGACTACTTGAAAAAAAAGTTAAGATTTTTTGTAATGTTAAATTCTCTCTTATTATAAGTAATAGGATAACTATATTTGGTATGTGCGTACCTTGCAAGGTCCTCATGCCCGTCAGACAGTTTTCACTTGACCTCGACTTCATTTCATGGATCAGTGAACAAGGTTAAGTTTTGGTGGTCAAGTCCATATCTCAGATACTATAAGCAATAGGTCTAGTATATTCGGTGTATGGAAGGTCTGTAAGGTGTACATGTCCAACTGGCAGGTGTCATCTGACCTTGACCTCATTTTCATGGTTCAGTGGTTATAGTTAAGTTTTTGTGTTTTGGTCTGTTTTTCTTATACTGTATGCAATAGGTCTACTATATTTGGTGTATGGAAGGATTGTAAGGTGTACATGTCTAGCTGGCAGGTGTCATCTGACCTTGACCTCATTTTCATGGTTCAGTGGTTATAGTTGAGTTTTTGTGTTTTGGTCTGTTTTTCTTATACTGTATGCAATAGGTCTACAATATTTGGTGTATGGAATGATTGTAAGGTGTACATGTCTAGCTGGCAGGTGTCATCTGACCTTGACCTCATTTTCATGGTTCAGTGGTTATAGTTAAATTTTTGTGTTTTGGTTTGTTTTTCTTATACTGTATGCAATAGGTCTACAATATTTGGTGTATGGAATGATTGTATGGTGTACATGTCTAGCTGGCAGGTGTCATCTGACCTTGACCTCATTTTCATGGTTCAGGGGTCAAAGTTAAGTTTTTGAGTTTTGGTCTTTTTTTTTCTAATACTGCATGCAATAGGTCTACTATATTTGGTGTATGGAACGATTGTAAGGTGTACATGTCTAGCTGGCAGGTGTCATCTGACCTTGACCTCATTTTCATGGTTAAGTGGTCAAAGTTAAGTTTTTGAGATTTGATCTTTTTTTCTAATACTATATGCAATAGTTAAACTACATTTGGTGTATGGAAATATTTTATGATCTATATGTCAGTCACGCAGGTTTTATTTGACCTTGACCTCATTTTCAAGGTTCATTGCTCAGTGTTAAGTTTTTGTGTTTTGGTCTGTTTTTCTTAAACTATAAGCAATAGGTCAACCATATTTGTTGTATGGAAGAATTGTTAGCTGTACATGCCTGCCTAGCATGGTTCATCTGACCTTGACCTCATTTTCATGGTTCATTGGTCAATGTTTAGTTTACTTGGTTAATGTTAAGTTTATGGGACAGTTGTAATAAAGCATATTATTAAGGACTATCAACATAATATCAATGATTAGTAAAGAAGGCGAGACATTTCAGTGTGTGCACTCTTGTTTTAACTACAAGTTTTGGAGTTATTACCCCTGAAATATTGATTTTTACAGGTTTTTGTTCCTGCCTGCGACTTCTCTCGCAGAAAGCTCGACAGGGATAGTGATCCAGTGGCGATGGCGACGCTAACTAACTACTAAATAGCTAAATATTTCAGAAGCTAGAATACTTGGATGTTTCATACTCTGTATATAGATGTTTTATGTTATGAAGTTTCCGTCTGTCATATGATATGATATGTCCATTTTCCTTGACCTCATTTTCATGGTTCAGTGACTACTTGAAAAAAAATTCAAAGTTTTTTTGTATTGTTAATTTCTCTTTTATTATGAGTAATAGGATAACTATATTTGGTATGTGCGTGCCTTGCAAGGTCATCATGCCTGTCAGATAGTTTTCACTTGACCTTGACCTCATTTCACAGATCAGTGAACAAGTTTTCTTGGTCAAGTCCATATCTCAGAAATAAGCATATAAGCAATAGGTCTACTATATTTGGTGTATGGAATGATTGTAAGTTGTACATGTCCAACTGCCAGGTGTCATCTGACTTTGACCTCATTTTCATGGTTCAGTGGATATAGTTAAGTTGTTTTGTTTTGGTCTGTTTTTCTAGTACTGTATGCAATAGGTCAACTATATATGATGTATGGAAATATTTTATTATGTACAAGTTAGTCTGGCAGGTTTTATTTGACCTTGACCTCATTTTCATGGCTCATTTCTTAATGTTAAGTTTTTTGTTTTGGTCGTTTTTCTTAAACTATAAGCAATGGGTCAACTATATTTGGTGTATGGAATGATTTTAAAGTGTATATATACTATATAGATATAAGAAGATGTGATATGAGTGCAAATGAGACAACTCTCCATCCCAGGCACAATGTGTAAAAAGTAAACCATTATAGGTCAAAGTACGGCCTTCAACACGGAGCCTTGGCTCACACTGAACAGCAAGCTATAAAGACCCAAAAATGACCAGTGCAAAACAATTCGAACAGGAAAACCTTTCTTGCAGGTACCATCTCAACTTGACATCTTTTTCATGGTTCATTGGTCATTATGATGTTTTCCTGGTTTAGTTTTTTCCTTAAATACTATATGCAATAGGTCAGCTATATTTGATCCATGGACTGATTGTAAGGTGTATATGTCTGTCTGACAGGGTTCATCTGTCCTTTACCCTTTTTTCATGGTTCATTTGTCAATATAAAATTTTAATGATTTGGTCTGTCTTGTATACTACTAGCAAAAGGTCAACTATATTTGGTGTATGGAATGATTGTAAGATGTACATGTATTTCTGGCTTGGTTTATCTAACCTTGACCTCATTTCTTTGATCATATTAAGTTCATGTGATACTTGTAGTAAAACTTTATACTAAGGAATATCAACATAAATGGTCAGTAAAGAAGGCGAGACATTTCAGTGTGTGTACTCATGTTTGTAGTTTTGGCTATTCAGGGGTTAAAAAATCCACTAGCCCGACGCCCGGGACTTGAGCATTTACGCCTCAGGCAATCAAAATTTTTAACCCAATATGCCCGACGGACTGGTAACAAAAAATTCTTGGCGTTTCCAAAATAGAAAGTGGAAAATCCCTTCATCACTATTCTATCTTAGCCAATCAGATTCAATTACGTCATCCGGGATTCCAAGAATTTGAACTGGTTTGTACAGGTCCTGTTGTACATATTTTAAAACTAGAACAAATAACTCTGGGTGGCCTGGTATCATGTATTGATCGCAATTTTCGTACTTTAAATATCGATTTCTCAGTACAACAGTACAGGGTATTGTAGATTTCTTATGCCAAGATGTTCAATTAACGGTACTGGGTGATGTATTGATCTGTATTAACATGTCTTGTCGGACAGCTGTTGAGAACGAAACCAATCCATGCAACCAAATATTTCTAAATATTTTAGTACGGGTACCCCAGGAACTTCGTCAGTTTTAAAACGAAAAACTGTAGATGAAAGGGGTAATGAGACTGACAATTCATCCCCAAAAAATGCCAAATACGACCGGGAAAAGCGGAATAGTGTCCCGGAAAGAAAGATTCCCACTGGGCAAGGTAGGCCGTGTTGCTGATGAAAAAACACCCAGAGAATATTTTCCCGAGCACGCCAATAAAAAGTCTGCTCTGTATGTGGGACCAACAGAATAAAATGCAGGTCAACAAAAATTATTAAATACAGTGTATAATGCTGCCTTCAAAACAAGGGACACCCACTTTGTAATTATGCAGCAAACTGATTTGTAAAGCATTCTCGGGCTAGCAGGTCAGTTTTGATGGGCTAGCAGTTCTTCCAACAGGGCTAGTAAAATCCTGCTGCAAATAAGTCCTGGGCTAGTTACCTGTAACAAAATTTTTTAACCCCTGCTGTTATCTAAAAACCTATAGGACCTAGGTTAAATATGTAAATTGCAAAAAATTATCAGCAACACAAAGAATAGCTGGTATGTGCATATAAAAATCGTAGTGAGCAAACTAGCGATATTTTCACCAGGTGAGCGACACAAATTTCAAATAGTGCAGAAAAGTTGAGATAGTCTTTTAGATGCTAGATTTACATGTTTTTGGATTAGATTAATATCTGAAAATATTAGGTCAGTAATTTTCAAGTCCATAATGATCATGTATTTTCAATTGGCATTAACAATTATAACTCAATGATAACTACAACAGTATATATTTGAAATATTTTTTTTTTTCTATTTTTAGGATATAATGGAAAATTGGAATGAGGTAAGATTTACTTTTAAGTCCAATTGTCATGTGCACTTTTATTTCCATTTTCTTACCAAAAATACATGTATGTGACGATTTGAGATACAAACTAGTAGAATTCTACGTGACCTACAAAAAAGATATTACAAGATCAAAGATAAAACAAACACAACAAAGATTGGGACAAAGAAAAATGTACTACAAACATTTGACTAAGGTGTTGCTAATAACAACTCATAGCAAAGATAGGCATAAACTGCATGAAATTTCTTGCCTGTTTTATTTTTATGCCCATTAAGTTTTTTTTTTATTAAGTTTTACCCTTGTTCGTCCGTACGTCCGTCCGTACGTCCCAAAATTGGTTACTGTTTTCTAACTTTAGTTTGCCTCAACCAAATGATATGAAACTTGTTCACAATGCTTATTACCCCAAAACACAGATCGAGTATGAATTTTGGTGGCATCACTTTTACCGTTCTAGAGTTATGCCCCTTTACAAATGGAAAAATTGCTGAATTTTTCGTTTCCGTTCTCTAACTTTAGTTTGCCTCTACCAAATGTTATGAAACTTATCCACAATGTTTATTACCACAAAACAGAGATCAAGTTTGAATTTTGGTGGCATCACTTTTACCATTCTAGAGTTATGCCCCTTTCCAATGGAAAAATTGCTGAAATATTAGTTTTTGTTCTCTAACTTTAGTTTGCCTCAACCAAATGTTATGCACAATGCTAATTACCATGATACACAGATCAAGTTTGAATTTTGTTGTCGTCACTTTTACCGTTCTAGAGTTATGCCCCTTTACAAATCTCAAAATTGCTGAAATATTTGTTTCTGTTCTCTAACTTTAGTTTGCCTCAACCAAATGTTATGAAACTTATGCACAATGCTAATAACCACAAAAAACAGATGAAGGTTGAATTTTGGTGGCGTCAATTCTACTGTTCTAGAGTTATGCCCCTTTAAAAATGGAAAAATTGCTGAATTTTTCGTTTCTGTTCTCTAATTTAAGTTTACGTCAACTAAATGTTATGAAACTTATAAACAATTCTTATTACCACAAAACTCAGATCAAGTTCAAATTTGGATAGTGTCACTTTTACAGTTCTTGAGTTATGGCCCTTTATAACGTTATATGAAAGCGGGGGCATCATCTGTTTCCCATAGACACATTCCCCATTTATTTTTTATAAATCATTAGTAACTTGCCAGAAATCCTCTGAGGTCATGGTGTCAGTAACTTGGAGCTGATTATCATGCATAATTTAGTGGCAGTTTAGTGTTTTAGGTTTTTTCATTTTCAGAAATGTATCGAATGTTTTTTAAATATAAGTGTATACACTCTCTTAAGGTTTATTCTATATCTAGTACCTTCAGAATGCTTGTTTACAATGTCAAATACATAACCCTATTGAGTTGTTAGAGAAACTATTGGACAATTTTTGATAAATTAAAAATACAGAAGTTCTCTCCTCTTGCAATTGTTGAGTTCGTTAGTTGAAAAAAAACATATCTATTTTATGGTATAAAGTGTAAATTGACACAACGCACATTGTCATAACAAATTGTTATCCAAAAGTTTTTTTTATGCCCCATCAACTGAAAGTTGGGGGCATATTGTTTTACCCCTGTCTGTCCTTCCGTCCCATTATGGGTATATAGTTATTCCAAATAACTCCTCCTACAGTTTGAATGCTAGGAAGTTTTAACTTTGCTGGCTGTTTGAACATATATTGAAGGTGTGCATGTCGTCAGGGTTTAGATTTTGATTAATATTTGCTCTTTTGGGAGATAGTTGAACTCTATCATTTTTGGAGTATATATTTGCATATTTAAGAGGCGCATAGCGTTTCCAGATAACTCCTCCTACAGTGAACCATAGACCTATGTGCTCTCATGCTCAACTTTGTGTATGTTAAAATAACACTTTGCATCTGTGAGGGCATCATTTGTGTCTCCCAGACACCATAATATCTCAAGGAAAGGATAAGTTTGACCCGAACTTATCAAGTCATTTTCCGGTTTGCTGTTGAAACAAAGAAAACACTTGTTTCTATAATGCAAAATACACTAATACAATCCGATAAATCAATTTACAGATTGCCATCATTTTGATGATATTTAATTTTTATTGTAAAATGTCAGCTGCTCCACACAATATGAAGCCTCTG